GAATCATGCCTAAACACACTTGACTGATTAGTGATTTAGTATATCCGCAACAACTCGAGGTACCAGGTTTCTCACTCTCGCTGTGTAACAAAGAATGGTGTTTCCTTTCACAACCCTCAACGTTACAACGTTTTGCCAGCTTACATTCACTAACTTTATGCCCTTGCCTGAGGCAGACAAAACAGATGCCATTAACCTTCGCGTGAGACCATCTCTCTTGAACGGTAAGCGCTAAAAATTTTGGACATTTATAAATAGCATGGTCTAGGGAACACACACTGCATTTAGCTTTCTCTTTCGAATTATTCGCCTGCTCCAATTGCAAGTGACAATTTGTCTTTACGTTGTGTCCCTTTCTCGGACGATTCGCTAACCGTCCAAACCTACTATTAGCTACCCTCGCGCGGGATGCTATAAATTGTGTAAGCTCGTCAAAGGTTGGTTCTCTATTATCTTCAGTCAATTCATCTACCCAGTCCGCCCATTGGGCTTGCATAACTTGAGGTAAGAGTCCTACTATTCTCTCTAAGGTAATTAAAGAATTTAAGTCGGCAGTATACTTCATCTGTTTCAAAACCATAGAACAATTTTCCATCCTAATAGCTAGATTTGTTAGTTGCTCAGGATCACTGTAATCAACATTTGTAGTTTTGAATAAGTCCTCTAAAGTCTCCCGAGCGATTACATGCGCCTGTCCGAACAACCGTTTTAGAATTTCTTTGGCCTTTTTGTAACCAAAAGAGGCTTCCAACATAACACAACCCTCAATGGCTGTTTTCGCTTTACCCTTACAATAATGTATCAAATAAAGCAAGCGTTGACCATCATCCTTGACCCTTGATTCCACATAGGTCTCAAACTCCCTTAAAAACTTCCAGTAACCTCTTGGTTGACCGTCGAAATAACCTAACTCAACCTTTGGTAACTCTGGACCTATGAAAAACGCCGACGGCCTTACGTCTTTTGCTTGCTTCACGTCTAAATTAAGGTTTTCTATGCCATCTGACATTATATCACAACTAGATTCACTATAATTACAATCGTCCCTATTAGAATATGAACCATGACACATAGAAGCATCAGAAGGCACTTGCTTTGATTGAGGGGATCCATCCTTTTGTTCATCTCTTTTAACATCCACAAGCCTTGGACTTAATTTCCTTCGACGATTGTTTGGCATCGGAAGCGAACGACCAGATATTCCCAGAGACGATGATTGGAATCAACGAAACGAAAGCCAAACGAATTCGACCAAATATTTGTTTAGAACTGTAAGATCCAAACTACGTTTGGACTGCTGGACAGCTGTCTGGATGAGTTAGATACGCGCCCTCGCCCGATTGAAACCAAAACAAAGTAATTGGGTAAGATAGCGGTTCTATAATTTATCATAAATTTAAGTGTACATTATTACCTAAACAAATATAACCACTCAGCTATCCAACCAATAATTGTTTAATTGATCAACTCTAAACTATAATAAATAAGAACGTTGATAAAGGATGCAAGAAAATTACCAATCACCACAAATAAATGTTATTCTATCCTGTCTGGATAGATCACGTACAGATTCGTTCAAAAGGTAATACTTGGTCGCTCTATAACCCAGAGTGTTTTCAATTCTGGAAGAGTGCTTCAATTCACAACAAAAATGCACAGTCCCAGTCAACGCAGGTCAAGCAATCACAAACAGGAACAAACCAAAATGGCTGCCGCCAAGACTTAGTATAAAGTAAAACAACATAAGTGCAGTTCGGGAAGAAGCATAGGGAATTAGTGAAGGTGTGGTAAAAACGAAAACTATAATAAAATACAAATATTAACAATTCAACTGTAGTCAAAAAGTTAACATTGTACGACTAAAAGAATCAATAGGAACAAAGTGCAAGTATATACATGGAGGGATTTTCACGAACACACAAAGCATTCAAAATGGATCTTACAGTCATTATGTGTTACTCATCTCTTTTCTTCATACTTAATATATTTTTTAAACCCATTTCAAATATGTGCTTAGCATCACATGGTTAACTGCCACGATACAGTGAGTCAAGATAGATGATGATGCGACTTTCACTTAAGTTCTTATAGATTAGATAGTTACGTCATGACAAATCTACAATTTTGGAATGAGGTCTATTATAGTAGTACCAACGAAATAGACGGTATTTCCACAAATCTACATTTAAAAAAAATAAAAATCGCTGTTCAGATCAATTAGAAAGGCATCAAAGGCGTAATATTTTACGCATTATCTGATATCATGAAAGCTAAGATCCACTGGAACAATAAACATATCTCTGCTGAAACTTTTGGACGATTCAACAAAAGAAAAAGAATTATCCGGCAGCGAATGGAGCATGAAGAAACACAGAGAAAGTGTGAGTCAAGTTATAAGCCTAAAACAGAGCAGAACGTAAATCAATGGTGAGGCACATCAGTGAGGGAGTGTGTTATGCACCTTCCAACGATAACAGAAAAAACTTTCAGAGCAAGAATATAAGAGAACTGTCTCGGCTTTGAAATAATTAAATGCTATATTCCTTCTTTTACGTTATTTTGGTTAGCATAAATTAGATCCATTTATCTGTTTGTTGACTACCATTAGGTGACTCCTGTTGAGTTGCAAATCATTAAGAATTTCAATTTCCACTCGTTGTAATGCCATACATGGACCATCATTTATTGCTAACATTCTAAATAATGCCTAATTTTATTAATTATTGAGTTTCACCTTCTTTACTCTACTTATTGTCACGAAAGTATTTCGAATAGTTTCTAGGTGACGGAGCAAACATTTCTGAAAAATTTCCTATCCCATATGGGTCATCGTGACAATAATGCTCACACGTTTGTATTCAAAATGTGTTCTCAAGTGAAGACCAAGAGGCTGTGACGACGGATCACTTGTGAACTCGAGGAAGCTGTAGGAAGCTCAGAGGGAGCCGAAGATATTCCATCCAATCCCCTTAAAATAATATTCTGGAATTCCTACATGCAGCTTCCGGATTGGACAATGCTAGAAACTCCCTGTATGCGGATTGGAAGACTGTAATGATGATTTTGTCTTTACTAAAAACTATAAATACCTGTCAGTTTTGTGCTATAATTGACACTATCTGGGAATAATATTCCTTTCACTAGTCTTCTGTCTTCTCATTGAGACTTGGAAGGGTTCTGGTGTTCTATTGCTCACGTTATACGCGGTATATCAAGAACAAACTTCTAGATATAACGGAGGCCTTAATAAAAAAGTATCCAAAGAGTTAATGAAATGACGGGATGATGAAGACATGATTGAGGACGAATAGTGAGTTTAGAATCCATGATGTGTTTTAAACGGCAGTTGGTAAAAGAAGTGTATTTACGCCAATAAGATAATATAACAGTTTTTGGAAATTTTCACACCTAATAATAAATGATTAGATGATTGAATAGTATATTAAACCTCCAAACATTACTAATCTGTGAATAAATTAATATATTTGGAATATTCCAATGAGTAGAAAAATCAAAATTTCCGAATTCTCGCGACTCAGTGTAAGTCATTTTTCCGAAGAATAAATAATCAAATCAAAACTAGGCCGAGTTTAAATTGTGCAAAAGAACAACACAACAAATGTCACTGAGCTCCAGTCATATCATTCATCAAGTTGAACAACGGCAACCAGTAAGTGTCTGATAAACTCAAATAATTAAATTTGATTAGCATTCGGTGAATAAATTGTAAAGTAATACGGGCATTACAGTCACAAAATAAGTCTCTTTAATAAGGGAGTTCTGTTCTGTGCATTGACATGAATCATGTACAGCATGTTCTGAAGATGATATTTGGCCCTATTAACAAAATCACTTAGAACCGTTAGCTTAATTACTTGTTGTGACACTGAGTGTTTCCATTTCTGGAAGTGTACTTGGATCCATAATCAAAAAGTAAACAACTTCAGTCGGTCTAAGAAAAACGATGAGAAGGGGAAAAGAATAAATATGGCTCCTACCGTAATTAAAATTTTAGGCAAAACGACGTAGATTTAGTCCGTAAGAATCATAAAAATTTGGCGGGAACGTAATAAAAGCTAGAACTACAGTTAAAATGTCTCCTTCTTATTCAGAAAAAAAAAGATCCGCGGGGTGTATAGATAAAGAAACATCAAAGAATAATTTATAAAATTTAGATATGAGGGATTTATTTAAATAATCACACAAAACCGTCAAAATGCATCTTACAACACGATTGGTTTAAGAATATGCTTGCTTCATACTGTTACTATAATAGTCATGCCATAATAGTCATGTTACGACAGGCTGAATCAGGTTAAGTATTAACTGTGAGATGTAAGTTGGACGTAGGTGGTATGACCTACCAGTCTACGTCAAACCCGACTAGATCTCAATCACAAGCGCTGATCACCGACAGCCATGTATCATCGCGAACCCAATAACAGTTAATGACGCAGCGAAAGACCAAACACATGAGAAATCGTATGAAGTATATGGAAGAAATCTAGGAAGTTTGAAGGATATAAATAAAAATTGAAGATGCGCAGCCACCAAAAAATTTTGAAGTACGTTCACGAATGTTCACAACAAAGCGATTATAATGGCTCGCAAGACGTCGTTTCATAGGAAGCTCTGGCAAAATAATCACCACACAGGTATACTTCAACTCACTTTTTAGTCAATTAAAAAATAAGCACTTATATGAAGTGATAACTTCTGTATGCCAGTTTATTAATCGCCTGTTTAGTTCGGGTGACTCATAAGTGACTCCATGGATACAAAATTATTGACGCATGCACCGTCAGCAGATCGAAATTTGTGAATACAATTAATCAGGAAACAAGTGTAATAAAGAGTTGGGCGGAGAATAAACAAAACACATCATTAAGTGTGCCAAAATTAAGGATGACAATCTCGGCAATGTGCTAAGAACACCTAAGTTAAAAATAGTGGCTCTTTGTTTTAACAAAGCGATGAGACACTGACCTATCCGAGGAGGTATTTTCATAAAAGGTAGTCGGGATTCCGTTAAGGAAGTGGAAGTCTCGAAACAACTAGTGGTTATATAAATGGTGAAAACGTATTCGTCTAGTGCATTATCAGAGACTTGTACGTACACGTTGGTACCGCATCGATATATCAATACAATTTGTGGATAATTTACAACTAAACCCAATCTCCCAATTTCGGGGAAAATTTTTGTGAATAGAGAATACAGTTATGTGTAAAATCTTTTGTACGGCTTGGTTGTTCAACGTTATATGTAGTGTGATGTGTATTTATACAACAAAATGTATTTTCAGCAATATTTAGTCCTTTTACTAACTTTAAAAATGCGAAAGTAAAAATGTTGCAGCATCTTTCAGTTTAACACCAGAACACCCATTTTTGTGGTTTCATACGGTCACTGACATTCTCTTTACCTCAATATTTTTCCACAGTCGTATTTCGTTAAAGTTCACTGTAAAAATTCAGGTCTTGATGTAAAGCAGTGTATTTAGTCGACTGTCATTTACATTTAGCACATCTTAGAGTTGATTAACGTGCAATTGCTCGGTTAACTTGTTGACAATAATCTGTGCAAAACTTCGGACAATAGTCTTTTAATTGCAGTTACTCTTTATCCCTTCCATATGAACCTAAGTATCACTGTACAACAATATTAAAATGACATTTTAGACTTAGATGATACCTTGTGTAATTCAAAAATGTATTCCTTCGGATGGGGCCGGGTTTCATCACGTCATAGTTTTCGTCAAGCGAAGTCGTATATTCTGTATAGTTCAATCAAGAACCTCTAAATTAATGATTAATATTCAAGTACTGAGGTAATCTGAGGTTTACGTTTGTCCGTACTCTGTTCTTGAGATGTGATTTTTATTCGTCCCATTATTATCCCGAAGTACTCAGGTATTTAATTGCAGCTCATATGTGTCATCCCAACACGATACTATTGTAGTTATGGTGAAATAATATTCCACAATTCACAGCGCGAAATATCACTCCTTGCTTATTCGATACTCGCAAATTGCCCCAATATGAATACATCCTTTTGTATTCTGTCTGTGTGGCCTACGAAAGTATTCTGTAGTAACAGTAGTACCAGTGTAAACTATAACTTTGCAACTAAGTATAACCACTTATTGATGTGAACCTTTTAATTCCATCTTTCTTTTTCAGGTCTTCCATTTGCTTTTACTTTTAGTGAATACAAATTCTCTAATGTCTTCGTGTGAAGACCTTTTTCAAAGTTTCTCTCGCAAACTTGATATTTCCAATATATCTAGTGACCTATTCTCTGACTCATCTACCAAATCACTTGGAGTAAAGTTGTAATAACTTCCATGAAAAGACTTATTATTATATTTTCTTAAAGAGAGAAACGGAAGGATAAACAAGACCGTGTGACTCATAACGTCGGTGAACTTATTCCAGACTTTTCTTCGTATGAAAAACATGAATTAGTTGTGGAATCGGATCTTAGTAACCATACATCTAGTTTTCACTATCAACTAGCGAATTGTAAGCTGGATTTCGTCATTTAACAATTATTTCCAGGTAAAAAAGAACGTACTACCCCACCTGAGTATCTTCCGAACTTGGTCGTAAAAACTAAACCTTATGATATTTGCATTAGTTCATCCACTGCATTCTGTAGTACCCCTGGACCTTCAAACTCTCTTTCCATCTTGAAGTCGCATAAAAATGCTCATGATTTACCAGCACCTAAAATTGTATCAGGTGATGCTTTAGTGAATACTCTTCAGGTTAGTTGCTTTTTGTCCAAGTGGATCATAATCCAAACCCCTGTATAATTTTGTTTATTTCAGTCAATGTTTAATCCTTATTAGCTTTTAATATCATTCGTTGCATGCTGATCAGTTCACGCAGTATTTTACAGATGAGTTCTTGAGCGATTTGGAACAACTGTAACATAAAGTATGAAATCAAAGTGTCTCTGTCTTTTCAACTCTTGTATCCTAATTTATAACCTTTAAAAGAGATCTACCTATTTTATAGGCACAGAAATCCAATATCTATTCAGATCAAAATTTTTGGTTATCTAATTAATTTCTGTTTTGTATACGTCGAATCTACTTATGTTGCAATTGTTCTTCTTTTCTTGATCTTATTTTCGCTCCAAGTTGCAACTGAATGAGTTCCGCGAGTTATTGTTAGGTCCATATTAAATAAAATTACAAAATTGTCGACGACCCTGATCAATAACATACCTTGACCACAGCTACTGCTTCAAAGTGGTTGAGTTTGCACACCATGATGACTCAGTCGATCCATATTGCCTGAGAAATTCGTTACTTCAGTTTCTACTATGCTAGACTGGTCAGTTTGAGAAAAGTAAGACCAGAAATAGAAACTTAAGGTATAAAGTCGAAGTCCTACTACTGACTGCACTGGAAAATGAAGGGTGGAGTTTTCCTCAGACAACCAGTATCTTCAAGGATATTGCTCTTATAACAGAAAAGCAAGAGGCTAGGAAAATGCTTTTAAAAAAACACCTCACTTTGTATCACAAACTTCTGTAGCTAGCGGTAAAGCCTCAAAAGTACTGCGCCGATACATCTAAAACCACTCAGAAAAAGTTGTTTTTCTACCCACAAGTGGTTGCCTCTTAGACATTGAGGTCATACTCCGAAGTTAATATAATCACTCTATCTGATTTCCTTTCCAAGTACCTAAAAAAGAAATATAGACAAGTGTGAAATGACAACTGACCTCAGCTATAACTGCTTTTAAGGTTATCCACACGTAAAACTGAAAACGAAACAGTTTACCACCATGCCTACTATTAGCTTCGTCTCAAGCTCATTCGAATATATCCAAACGTTTGTGAAATAATACATGACATCCTACTCATAACCCTCAATTTAACATAATTCCGAAGTCATATTGCCATTAATACTGAAATAAGCTATATTGATTCAAATCCAATGTCTCACTAACTTTGCGTTTGCAGAAAGTGTGTGTGAAAATTGTACTCAAAACTGTCATTTTGGTTTTTTCAAACACTTTGAATGTATAACTTAGATTCAGTCAAATATTTGTAACTAAGGCACTAAATTTTCAAACCTTTAAGTTTCATTCTCGAGAACTATTCTCCTTTTTATTATTTGGACTTATTTATTTAAAAACATAGACATTGGTACGAGGAGGCACCAAAAAGACATGCGCCACAAATCATTCGATTTATGTGAGGGCTGTGATACTGCCCGGATGCCCAAACCGAAACAGGTGGTTTTCTTATAGTGCCATACCCTGAGCCTTTGACCTAAAGGTCTAATCTACAAAGCAGAGGGACAGCGTAAGGAGATTCAGTCCCATGGTAGCCCGTGACCAACAATTGGTTCATAGGCCGTTTGTTTCCTTAGGATTCTGGAGCATATGTACACCATTAGTTTGGAATCTTGGTTTCAAAACTCCTCTAGGTGGACTCTCCGTATCCACCGATCCCGTTAATGCGCCGAAAGTCCGCATTTCGTTCTCTCAACTTCATAAACACCAATAATGCCACGAAAAGGCAGTGATTAGGACTTCTCTGGCAGTGCTTGTATCCACGTGGCTACTTGAGGGCATTTCGAGTGGGAGAACGGACTAACCCACTCTCGGCCGTACCAGGGCATTTGGAATTAGTTGGTTAGTTTTAGTAGTTTTCATACATAAAATGTTACTTAAATCTGGAAATATCAAACTCTGGTTGGTCACTGAATGATATATCTTCACTCGTTATTTGACATAGAGTGAGTTGTTCAAGAGCGAATGAGAGTGAAAGACAGCTTCTAACTTCCAAGTCCTTATAAAACATACAGAAGTTTCCCACTTAATAATACCACATATAATTAACTAACAATAATTTTATGCTGTCAGATTTCATATTCGCTGAATTCGCTTTAAAAGTTGATGCTCACTGTCAATATTATATATCGTTTCTACATAAAATATATCTCTTAAGTCCTTCGAACGATTATACTGTATATTTTGAAGTGTTATGTCTTTGTTGTTAACTTTGAGTTGTTATAGAAAATCTAAAGACAGAATACACATTGGATTGATTATTAGTGAGTGATTTACAATGATTATAGATTATCACCCATATTAAATAATAGTGTTGTGTTTTTAATCACCCACTTACTTGTACAGTTGTATTACGTTCAGTCGCTGACAGTATAGCTGCATGATTGGAAACACTTTTGCCAATGAATAACCCATTATTATTATTATTATTATTTTATATTTCTACTGTATTTTTATATTTTCCTATTTGTAAGCTTTCGTTAGTTATATCAGCTACTGTTCTCTGTTGTAGATTTACTACGGACCTAATATTTAGTTCTCCACTTATGATACATTCATGTGTACATAATACGTCCGTATTTACAATGCTGTATACTCAGATAATTAATCTATCTTAGCGCATGAGTTTTGATATAGGTACAGAACTGTACAATAGAAGTTTATCTGTCTGTTGTATTTTTGTTCTATTCTAGCTTTAGGAGATGCATCTTAGACCTATAGACGTTAAGTATTGATGCCGATTATTTTCTCACTGTCATTGATTTATTGGTCAAAGGGAGATCATAGAGTCATTGGGTAGCAGGAAGTCATCGGTCCTATTTAAGCTATCCAGACCAATCAATCAATAATTCGACTAGATAATACAGCTGCTCCCCAGTTAGACGTCCTGATCACTCATGGACAAATACACTACTCAGAAACTTGTTCTTTTCTTGCCACTACATCAATCTTAGGTATTTTCAATTTAGTCAGCTGCAGATTGTGGATCAAGTATACATCATAACTGTAGAGCATTTGACAGACAAATAGACCTTGTACTTTTATTGACAATAAGGTTAAAATGTGATAAAATAACTAAATTTTTTATCAACATAAAAGTAGCGTTGGTCAAGAATGAAAATGGGAATTATTAAATATCGGATAATGTAACTTGTTCATTAATTATTAGCTTGTATACTTGCATTTTAAGCTATAATTTCATGCGAGGGCGAGTAATTACAATCTGGTCATTCAAACTAGAGTGAGCGAAATAGGATTCATATCTACAACCAAATGAAGGAATTTTTATTATTAAATGCCCTGTTGTGGCCGAGGGTGGGTAGAGTCCGCTCTCCTCGAAATGCTCTCACATGGCCATGCGTATATAGTCACTGCTAGGACAGTCCTACTCATTGTCTTCTCGCGGCGGGGGTGTTTTTCACGAAATTGAGAGGAAGAGAAGCGAATGTCCGGGGCTTTAACCGCGTTAGTGGACATGGATGGTCCGCCTAGGGGAGTTGGAAAACCCTGATTACAAACGACTGGTGCACATGGGCTCCAGTATCCTGAAGGAACTAAAGGCGTATGAACTAATTGTTGGTCACCTACTAACATGAGACCGAATCTCCTTACATTGCTCCATTACCTTGTGGATTAGACCTTTAGGTCAAAGGCTCTGGGTGTGGCCCTCTAAGAAAACCACCTACTTCGGTTTGGGTGCTCGGGCAGTATCACAGCCCTCACACAAGTCAATAATAACTGCTACTGACCTCATTGTTATTATGTGATGCATATATATTTGGTTCCCCCTTGTACCAACGTTTATATATCCAAATAAATAAGGATATCTTTCTATGTCACTATGTTATTTTTATTGTTTCGGTCAAATACTTTCATATAACTGCTTTTGATCATTCAAATCAATATGAGCTGTCAAAAGTACTCTTAATATAATCACCATTAAATTAATTTGACTAACGTAGTTTGTATAACTACACTGATTGTTGTTATTAAAATGGATAACCTCAACTTAATAAAAAAGCACTCAAAACAAACAGGTAAGTTTTAAATACAACTAGTAGTAGTGTACTGATTTTGGAACACATCTGATACTTATCAGTAAATGTTTTTTAAATTAAAATTGGTGTTTACTAGTATCTATCCATGAATATTGTTGCCGCCTTTCAATAAAGTGATAGCTTTGCAAACGTATGTTGATTTAATTAAGACTGCTAAAATTTACAAGTACCCATGGTAATTGCTGAAGTGTTCAATTCTTATTCTTTTTTATTTAGATTTGTTCGTATCAATAAAAGTGACTCCATCCATGAGTCGAAAATTCCCTTTATCATCTATGCAAACTATTGATCTATTACATAATAATTCAGTTTGCTGAATGATTTATAATGATCTATGAGAATTTTTAACGCTATGTTTTGCACCATCTTTCAGTTATTGGATAAGGTTTCACTACGGAATTACAATGTAATTCTCATTAACAATAATACGCTTGTAACTGATATAAATTCAGCATCCATATAATTACCTCGTTTGACATTTATCCAACCATGTTACCTGTGTTGTCGAAACTTGCACTGAGACACATTTCTTTCCTATCATTAAAGTGGAAAAATGTCGGTCTTTACTTACCTAGGCCTAATACTCCCAATGGAGCATAGGCCACCAACCAGAATTCTCCAACCCACTAAAGTCAGTCGTTACATCCGTATTATTATTGTTGTTGATGCTATTATTATTTTTTTTGACAATAAAACCTAAATATTCGTTTTTAAAATACTTTAGGTTACACCTATTCACCCAGTATTCACAAATCGAAAATCTACCGTGAATTTTCAAATGGGAAATATTTCACCACAAGTAAATTGCCAACAAACTTTAACACCATCCTATCACCCTATTTCTACATATAATAAGAATGAATTAGTAAGTGATACAATTCTAGTTGTCGACTCATTCTTATTAAATTTTGCTTATTACACAAAAGATGTATTGTTTACTCACAATATATATCCTAATAATGACGGTAAAAAAATTATTAGTGACCTGGTTTAATTATAGATACACTGATATATATATCAGTACTGATGGTTATAATGCGCCCACTAGTGATTAACTTGAAGAGGACGTTTCCGAAGTTTTGGCCAGAAGTTGTGACCACTGAAGTTCAACCAGCCCAGTGGTCTAGAAGTTAAGTGTTCATGCATGAGGTCCTAGGTTCAATCGCGTTTGATAGGGTCGTGGATATACACTGCTGGTGAGTTCCATTCCTGGAGGAACAAGCTGTCTAGTGCATCCAGGTTTTGAGTGGTTTTTTAAATTAGGTGTCGGTTCTTCGTGATTTTAATAAAATTCAACGATCTTCACAGTCCTCATACTGACATACATTATCTATTTACTTAACTTTGCTTGGTATTGTCAGTGTAGCCTAGGTCGTTTCCAAGATTCTCCAACCCACTTTGTCCTGGAATATTTGTTCTTTTAATATCTACCTCCGATTCCCGGCTCAATGTGTTCTTTGGTCCTCTCCCCCTTTTGCCTTGATGATTTTAAGTTACAGCTTGTGTCACGAACAAGCTTGATGATTCCCTCACTGTATGTCCTATTCACCTCCAATGTCTTTTCCTAATTTCCTCTCCAGCTGGAAGCTGGTTTGTTCGCTGCAAAAGTGGGTCGTTGCTGATAGCGTCTGAATAACGGATCTGAAGATCTTGCGCAGACTACTGTTTAAAAATACATGTAGCTTTTTAATGATGGTTAAATTAGTTCTCCAAGTTTTAGCTCCACACAGTAGAACTGTCTTGACGTTTGTATTGAAAATTCTGACTTTGATGTTGTCTAACAGTTTTTTTGATTTCCATATGTTCTTCAGCTGTAGAAACCGTGTCCTCGCTTTGCCAATCCGTGACCCCACACCGACATATATAAGTCTTGGTAAATGAGAGCCTTTCCGTGGTAAAAATAACTGATGATAATCCTTTAAGAATTGCCAAATGTAATATTATTTAGATGGTACAGAAAGAGAGTCTCAGTAAGGAGATCAAGCTAGCCTATACTTATTCACGCGTAATTAACAAAAAAGAAAATAGTCAACTCTCAAAGAGGGAGGGAAGTGTAAAATGTATGTATTATTAAGTAGGAAACTAAGATTTATTCCCCTTATTTGACACAACAGGGTTAAGTATTCAGATCAACCGCAGTTCGTTTTGCATTAACTCATGTGTCTTCAGTATGCTTATCTCTGATGTTTTTCTTTCACATTAGATAACTACCATTTATACCAAGACAAAATTCACTATCATCACCTTCCTCCATCTTTCATTGAAGAAGCATATTGTCAATCTCGTAGATTACATTACGGACTGATTTTAGTTAAATATCTACCCATCCATCCCCACTGGCAATCGAACATAGAACCTTGGGGTCGTGAATATGCACTACTGAGGAGTCCTATACTGAAGGGAAGCAGCTATCTAGTGCTCTCTGGTTTTCAATAGATATTTAACTAGATTTTTAACAATTCATTCGCTAGCCGCTTGGGTATGAGTCACACTTAATCTGACGGATAGTGATACTACCCCGTTGATCAAACCGAACTAGGTGGAGCAAGTTTCGAACCTGGAACTTAATGGGTTAAAGCCGAACGCCTTAAACGCTAAGAGACCTCCCAATCCTGGTGTTTGTGTAGTATTAGTCTGTATTGTATTCTATGGGACTCACTAATCTTTAATCATTAAGAAGTTGTTACTAACTTATGTCTGTTACCCCTCACAGAGGAGCATAGGGTCGCTAACCAGCATTTCCCATCCAAATCTGTCCTGAGCAATCTTTCCAGTTATTTCCAGGTGCTATTCAGCCTCCGATTCTCGACGCAGTGTGTTCTTTGGCCTTCCTCATTTTTGTTTCCCTTCAGAATCCCAAGTTAGCACTTGCCTCATGATGCAGCTTGATGATTTCTTCAATGTATGTCCTATCCACTTCCAACGTCTTTTCCTAATTTCCTCCTCAGTTGGAAGCTGGTTTGTTCCCTCTCATAGTAAGCTGTTGCTGATAATATCTGGCCAACGGACATTCAGTATCTTACGTAGAAATTTGTTTATAAGTTATCTTCATTTTCTTCTCTCAGCCTGTTACTACTAATAGAACATAGGCCGCCGACCAGCATTCTCCAAACCATTCTATCCTGGGCCTTCCTTTGTAGTTCTATACAATTGTTATTCATTCTCCTCATGTCTGTTTCCATTTCTCGGTGTAATGTGTTCTTTGGTCTTCCTCTTTTCCTTTGGCCTTGAGGATTCTATGTGAGGGCTTGTCTTGTGACGTAGTTTGGTGCTTTCCTCAACGTGTGTCGTATTCACTTCCAGAACTTCTCCATGATTTCTTTCTCCACTGTAATCTGGTTTGTTCTCTCCCACAGTAGGCTTTTGCTGATAGTGTCTGACCAACGAATCTGAAGTATTTTGCGTAGACAGCTGTTAATAAACACTTGGATATTCTGGATGATGGCTTTCGTAGTCCTCCAGGTTTCTGCCTCATATAGTAGAACTGTCTTGACATTTGTATTGAAAATCCTGACCTTGGTGTTGGTTGACAGTTGTTTTGAGTTCCAGATGTTCTTCAGTTGTAAATATGCTGCTCTCGCTTTGATGATCCGTGCCTTAACATCTGCATCAGATCCACCGTATTTATCAATGATGCTACCCAAATATGTAAAGGTTTTTTACAACTTCCAAATCCTCTCCATCAGTTGTGATTGGATTTGTGCATGATGTGTTGTGTCGGAGAATCTTGCTTTTCCGTTTGTGTATGTTGAAACCTACTGCTGCTACACTGGTCATCTCCTGTATTTGTTGTTGCGTTTGCTATAGAAGAGCCAGATCATCTGCGAAGTCTAGATCGTCCAGCTGCATCCTAGATGTCCATTGTATCGCGTGCTTCCCTTCAGATGTTGACGTCTTCATGGTTCAGTCGATCACCAGGAGAAAGAGAAAGGGTGAGAGTAAGCAACCTTGCCTGACACCGATCTTTACTTTGAACGAGTTTGTTAACTGTCCTCTATGCACGATTTTGCAGTGTAATCCATCATATGAATTCTGTATGATATTGACTATCTTCTGAGGCACGCCGTAGTGTCGAAGATGCTTCCATAGTGTTGTTCTGTCCACGCTATCAAATACTTTCTCGTAATTAATAAAGTTGATGTAGAGTGATGAATTCCGTTCAATTGATTGTTCCAGTTTATAAGTTATATTCAGTTATATATCTGTCGAAGCTCTTTTTGTATAATTTATTTCATTTCGAATGATAAATACATAAATTCTCATCAATTTTAAATGTTGTATTCTTATTATTAAAGGTTACTCATGGCCTAGATCAAATGCCTTTAAATTCTCCACATGTATTACAATGTTGTAATTTGTCTACTGCATCTACAAATCAACAGATTGAACATGATCATATTCCAATTCATTCATCATTTTCTACAGTGAATAAAGTGAAAGCTGGTAAGAAATCTGGATCATACACAAAACGACTTACAAGACGTTTTCGTTGCGAAAATATGATATTGAATCGTTCATATATGGTAATTTAACTGCTATTATAGTTTTTTTTAAAATGATTTGATTGTGTTCATTTTCTCGATTATTTCCTTCACAATTATGTTGGCCTTCGACTTACATGTCTAATCCACAAGACATCGTAACAACAACATTAGGAGATCCAGTTTATTAGTGGTCAATGACCAAAATAGGTTCATATACCATTCGATCCGTTCAAGTCGTAGAGCTCATCTACACTATTGGTTTGAAATGAAAACTTTCCAAATCCCATAAAAGGTTTCTCCGTATTCGTAAAGTCAGTGTAAACCCCGCAGATTTGCTTTTATTCAAATTATTTTCGTAAACTACACCACTTTGTGTAAACAATGGGTAAGAGTTCGCTATCTAAAGCTATGCCTATATGTGACCATTTTGAGAAGAAGGAGCGAACGCTTTCAGTTACAGACCCTACTGTGGCATTTGGGTACATTTCTTCACTCAATCCTTTATCTTAGTTGCAGATTACGCTTTGGTGTTGTTTGCAGAGCAGTGTAATGAGAACTTTCTATGTTTGAAGAGATTACGAGATCACCTAAATCGGCTAACGGAACGAAAACTCAGCGACACAATGACAAGGTAAACTAACTATTTCGATGCGTTCCATTCCTGTTACTTAGAGCAAGAAGTCCAGGTTCAAAAGCACCCAAAATCACGAAAGACAAAAAATACAACTCTAGTGTATGTATGTATACAGCATAAAAATATAACCGGGAAATGTCACAAAATAGTATATTAAAAGAGACAACGAATCATAAACATTTAGGGTTCTTTCAAGTGGGAAAAACAATCTTAAGGTAAAAAAACGGACGCATTTGATTCAAAAACAAGAAAACCGAATTTCCAAAATAAAATTACAAAAATAAGACATTTATCAAGGGAGTTCTGGGGATCTACCATCCCCAATAGTACTGAGCTCGAGTGTCACTATAGTGTTGGGGTATATCCTGTTGTATTATTGTCTATTCTATCATATTTCCATGTCACTTAATCATCCAATCAAAATATCAGAATACCAGATAAATGGTGAAAATTGCCTTTTATTATTATTGAGAATCATAGATGAAAAATAGGCGCTAAAATTGGGGTTCGATTAAGATGAATATTAAGATGAGTATTTTCATAGGCATAAACATGCTTTTCAATCTTAGCTACCCAAATCATGGGAAGAATTTCTTTTTGAAGTATCTGTAAAGGAAATTAGGTTAAAGATGGTCTTGACGACGTGAGAGTGTAACCATGGCGCCCAAAGATTAACTGCTTGAAGCTGGTTACACACGGCTTTTTTGTAAGTAGTTTTACATGTATTTGCTCAGTACTTTTAAGGCTTTACCGCCAGTCACATAAATATATAAGGCAAGGTGATGTGTGCTATTTTCATAACTGATTTTTTCTTAACCGCTATTTCCGTTGAGGTTAGGTAGCATCTCTATATTTTCTGGTTGTCTGTGGGAAACACCTTCCTGCCGTCATACTCCTGTACAATAGTGCTACTGCACCTTCAGACATAAATCCCCCAAATTTGCTCTTACCACTATCAAATCAACCTGTCTAACTTAATACGATTCTAAGAAACAGATAGTCCAGGCACTATATCTTGGTTGGGTCAACACGATATGCAAGCATGACCATAATGTCAAGGCAGCAGTTACGATTGAGTTCTGTATTAGTATTGATGATAGTAATCTGATGATAAAGGTAAAAATTAAGTGTTGTTCAACTTGATAATGTCGTTGAAGAATGGTAACTTAAAAAGTAGTGAAATTTTACAATGTACATAGCTTTTAGGGACTGTCCCTATCTTTAAAGGGTTCACGTCGTTCCTGTATCAACTATCGAGGGATAAGTCTACTTCCGATTGCGTCCAAGCTATTGGCTTCCGTCATACTTCGTAGGTTATTCAAAACCCGAGAAAGATTGACTCGCGAGGAGCAGGCTGGGTTTCGTTCTGGTCGAGGATGTATTGATCATATCTTCACCCTCCGCCAAATGTTAGAACACCGCCATACTTATCAAAGGCCAACAATCGTAGTGTTTCTTGACATCAGGGCTGCCTTCGATTCGTTGGACAGGACTGTTCTCTGGGATTGTCTATTGAAGAAGGGTGTGCCTGAGAAGTTTATTAACATCCTGAAAGCCCTACATACAAACACCTCAGGCAGAGTGAGGGCATACAACCACCTTTCTCCATTGTTCTATTCGAGTAGTGGGGTTAGGCAGGGTTGCCCAATCTCACCATTCCTCTTCAACTTTGCCATCGATGACATTCTGGAAACAGCTCTGATGAATGTAAGTAATGGTGGTGTGGATCTGTTGCCTGGAGAAAGACTTCTCGACCTTGAGTATGCGGATGATATTGTCTTACTGTGCGATAATGCCCAAGCCATGCAATCCGCAATTAATCAGTTGGCAATCAGTGTCCGTAGGTATGGTATGGTTGTCTCCGAATGATTGCTGACATCCAGTGGCAACACCATGTTAGTAATGCAGAGGTTCGGCATCGTGTGTTCGAGCACAGAGATGATAATTCAATTGGTGTTACCATCTTGAAACACCGACTTCGGTGGCTTGGACACGTTCTACGAATGTCGTTCCAGAGAATTCCACGTCGTGCATTATTTGCCGACTCTGGGACTGGTTGGAAAAGGCGGAGAGGTGTTCAGTGTATGACATGGTATCGTGGTATGAAAGAAGTATGCAAAGGGCTTGCTTGTGTTGATCCTTCACTACTCCCTGGCTGGGGTCCGAGAAATGGTGCAACACAGTGGCTAAAGACGTTATCAGATATGGTTCAGAATAGAAGCCATTGGCGATCCTGTTGTGACCTTTTACTTTCTTCATAAAAAGTGTTTCTTCCTTAACTGAAAGATTTCTTCTGATTGTGCCTTTCCGTTCCCCCATTATTACCACTATTATTACTACACTACCTTACAACAATCTCTTCGTTATTGTTCTCTTTTTTTACACTCCTTACCTTTTTTTCCTTCTCTTTAAATTCTCATTGTTTTGTGTGGCGCATATATGTTTGGCGCACTCTTGTACCACTATGTTTGTGTTCAAATAAATAAATAATAAATTTTTAAGGGCTATTCGTCACCGATTGGTTTCAGGTGGAGTATAACCGGAAACTGAGGAGTACTGAAATGGTGTCTCATTTTAGTCTGAGACTCTTCAATCGCATCTGTCCATGTTATTCCGCTAAGAATTAAATCTATTACATTCAGCTGTCTTTTACTCCTTGGTTTTCAATGTTACCTCCTAGTAAGGGCAGCTCAAAACGAGTCCCATTTATAAATTTAAATGATCTTCACTAAATCATATATTCTAAAATTTACAAACAATAATCATTCATTTTTATTTCCCTTCATTAGACGTTATATGAAGCTGGAGATATTAAAGGGACATTGTTTAAAATTTGTGAACAATCCGATTACAAAACATTTGGACAATTATTTATACCAACGTAAGTCGCTTTGTCACTAATTTTGTTGCCCTCACCTCGTCTATACTCGTAGGTTTTGTATTTTGATGGAGTTTTGTTATCTGAACTGGATGGTTTGGTCGTCTCAGTCCGTCAGTCAGTAACAACGTAGAACTTCGTACGTACATACATCAGTTCGAGTTGCTATACCACATTAGCATACAGATATAATTGTCGATTGGTCGTCTAGTGAGTTATGTAAGTGTAGGCAGGTTATCACAAGTAAATGAATTATTCAGCTAGACATGATTACTCTCAACATACTTTAATCAGTTCAATCACTTGTACGTATGCACAACTTGCGTATATTATCAGTCAACTTTAACCGTCAAAGCCTCTTACACAGTTTCTATCGTTTTAATCATTAGCGAATTTGTCAAGTGTTTTGGAATATCCATGATTAATTGAAGTTCGAGATTATCAAACTGTGACGTTAATAGTTCGTGATTTGTGTCACATTCATAGATGTGTACTTTTTAGTTAGAATCAACAGAATAATTATTGTATATCATCAAAGACTTTTGTAAGTAATATGACTTCATACATAGCACATAAGTACATTTATTCATTGTTCTTCTATGTCTTGAAAGTAGTAGGTTTAGAACTCCAATCCACAAAGCAGCGGAGTGACGTTAGAAGATCCGATCCCATTGGGGCCGTAAACAAGAATAGGTTCATACGCCATTTGTACTCTCAGGATCTTCGAGTTCATGTAGATCATTGGTTTGAAATCAAAGTTTTCGAACTCCCCTAGGTGAAATTTTCCTGCCCACCAACTCGGTTTAAACGCTGGAAATTCGCTTTTTGTCCTCTAAATTTCATAAGCAATACCCCTGTCACGAAAAGGCAGCGAGTAGTACTTCACTGACAGTGGCTATGTATGCACAGCCATACGAGAGCATTTGGATAGGGATAATGGACTCTCTCCTTGTTGGAATATTCAGTATCCATCAATGAATAATACTTGCAGTTGTTCAATCAACCTTAAGTAACTTGGGATCAGACATATATATGTATCAATTCAAATTACCACACAGCATGTTCTAAAAGTGACAACACTGTCAGTAGCAATAGTAACGATAGTAGTAGGAAACACTAGCCATGGAGAATATGATTCTAGGAAAAAGACTAGATTCTTAGAATAAAAAATATAAGGCAATCTTAAAATCGAAAATCTATGGGAAGTCGAAGAGTGGAAACATATGAGTCACCATGACTGATTCTGTGATTTGTCACAGTTTCCAACCACTGGAGTATAATCACGAGGACCTCAACCAGGTATTCTCCCCCCAAATGCCCTGGTATGGCCGAGAGTGTGAGGTGGGCCCGCCTTCCCTCTCGAAATGCTCTCACACGGCGACGCGTATACAGCCTCTGCCAGGGAAGTCCTACTCACTGCTTTCTCGTGGCGGGATTGTTGTTTACGAGGACGAAAAGCGAATGTCCGGCGCTTTAACCGGACTCCAAACCAATGGTACACATGGACCCCAGTATCGTGCGGAAACAAATGGCGTATGAACTAATCGTTGGTCATCAGCTACCATGGGACTGCATCTCCTTACGCTGTCCCTCTGCTTTGTAGATCAGACCTTTAGGTTAAAGGCTCGGGGTGTGACCCTCTAAGAAAACCACCTGCTTCGGTTTGGGCACCCGGGCAGTATCACAGCCCTCACACAAATCGAATGATTTATGTGGCGTATGTCTATTTGGTGCCTCCGTGTACCAATGTTTATGTGTTTAAATAAATAAATAATAAATAATATTCTGCATTTAACTACATATTTTAGACCAACAGTCGCTGACTTTATGGACTAATACCATGTCGTGGTTTGGCTACCCCTAGTTTGCTTCGAACCCACCCCTACACGAGCCATCATCGTGCATCGAGCTATCCGGATAATTAGCATATGTAATACATGTGCTAACCGTCTCAGTCGATAATGAGCTACTACCTCGTCAATCGATTTGCCATACTTACTCTAGTATTCTGAGTTTAAGCTCGGAATTGTTAACTTGATAATCTCAAAATATACGACCAGTGGTACGACGACACCTGTAACTAAGTTCTATTGTGGTGTGAACTACTTATATTGATATAAGTAGTGTGTAACGTGCGTTAAAAGAACGTAACGTCTGGCTGCGAAAGATGGAGAAGATCAAGAAAGATGGAGGGAGAACATAATGGAATTTGTAAGAAAACCAATGTTCAATGGAATGGGAGTCAATGGTTTGGTGTTGGCAACACAAACAATCCAGTTTGATTTGATGCGTGAATATTTTGAAAATTGACGATTGACTATATGGTATTCAGATATTGTTGAAATAGACTGTACTTATTGTGCTAAATGCATCCGTTTTTCCCCACCCGTGTTCGTGTTCACTACATTTGGTGTCGCTGCCAACCAGGAGAGGAGGAAGGTGCTGTTCTGCGGACGCCGTTGCGGGCCCGGAGCTGAGGTGCCAGTTGAGGCAGTCTGGGGCGGCGTTGGCTGTAGCGGGTGCTGTCGACGGAGAGGAGCGGTGGGACGCGCGGCTGCACCACACTATTAGAAACCTACGAATATCTTTTATTTTTAAAGCACACACACACACACAAAGTAGGATTGAGCGAATTGTTACATAGTAAACTCGTTTTTTTAGTTTATAGATGAATATCTCATCTATGCCACAAGTGATACAACTTGACAAAAGCCAAGTGAGATTTTCGGAATTCGTCCCGAATGTTTTATATGACTGACTGATTTAAAGTTTCTACTCTTTGGTTTCTATCAAGTGAACATATATTGTACTAATTAATTAACTAATGAACTGACTACGTTTGTTGAGTATTGATTTACGTGTTCACTTGTTTGTTTGTTCGTTTTATTTTTTAAACCACATTCAACACAAACATGCTTATGTACATTTATTTTAGTCGTAGAAAAAATCTGAGTAAAATTGGTGAAGGATGCTTTGGTGAAGTGTTTCGTTGTCCAGATGAATCTAATCCAACTGAATATGTAGTCATTAAATTAATTCCAATTGAGGGTAATATTAAATTCAATGGAGAATCACAAAAATCTTTCAGTGAAGTACTTTCAGAGGTTATTGTTTCTAAGTAAGTAATTAAGATTAAGTCCTTTTAATGGTTGAATAATACGTTACATTAAATGTTTTGAAATGTGTAGAATTTTCCAATTTATATCAAGAATCAATCTTAAATAAAGGACTATTTAAAACCAGAAAACACTGAACACAATTATTTTGTCTTAATTGTGAACTCCTCATACATATCCACAACCTCACTGGAGATTGAACCCTAGTTTAATTGTTAACGTTCAGTTTGTATAATGATTTATATGAACGATGTTGTACAGTAGTTAGAAACAAAACTGATCATTGGCTATCAAGATTGACGAATCGATTTGTTACAACTTAGGATATACTAAATCATCTAACCATAATTATATTTATCCAACTGTTTAATCGACAATCGAATATCACTAATCAAACTTTGTATTAATATCAATGCTATCGAGGTTGTCTGCAATATTTTCATTGTTCATCATCTGTGTTGTTGGTATTTTGTGCGAAATTTGTTTCCGATTGTGATGTACAAATTTATTATACCCAAACCCAACTTGTCTACGTGAACAGGAAGAATGCTATATATATATATATATATATATATATATATATATATATATATATATATATATATATGTCTATTAAGAATTTAAGCCATATGTTCAGCCATTGACTTTTGTCTCGTTTCATAGAAAAAGAAGTTGTATCTGTAACAGAAGTATACACTTATTATTTAGCTGGATGTCTAGTTGGTCATCATTTTACTGATTATGAATCCGAAGGCGATTGACAAGTTTTATCGATGCATCGAGTGGCACTAAAACTGGCAAAATAGTATTTAATTCTTTGCTACACTTGTGGGGGTGTCTTTACTATCTTCGAATTCTTAAAAACTACCATTGAGGTTTTTCAGATCATATAATGAGAAGAAATAACTTTCGAGTTTGTCGTCTACACCATCATGCGTCCATACATTGTTGTAAACTTGACAACATTCCCTGCATGTTTCAAAATCACACCTAGTAATACAAAATTAAGACACCCTGTACGATTTCCTTTCTATGAGTTTCAAACTGAAAGTCAATTACAACAAAGTTTTATGGCTCTAGCAACCAATAAGGGATGAATTGTGCTTGTTTGTCCTTTCATCAAACAATAGAACCCTGATATACTCTCATAAACAATCAAACGCCTATAAACCAGTTTCTCAGCCCATCTTTTTGAAATAAACAGAGGTACTGTAAAAACTTACTATTTATTAATTGGAATATAAGCTCTTTGTTACATGCTTGGAACCATGTTTATGATTAAATTCACTTGGTATTGTTTACTTAAATCTTCCCATTGTTATTTAGGACTGCAATTGATCAGTCTCTTGTTGGCATTTGTACATCCTGTGCGGACTGCCTCGATATTGCCTTAGGTCACGAGCTTCATAAGCAAAGATGAATATTGGCTAGCAGTGGAATCCAGGACGCTCTTCTCGTACTATTTGGGAATCGTCAGCTGGATGTACTTGCATCCCGTTGTAAAAGCAGGTGACTATCAGAACTCATTAGCTAAGTGGATAACGCGATGGCGTTTGATGCGAACGGTACTTGGTTCAAGTCTCATAGTGAACATCAACACTGAGATGCAAGTACATCCAGCTGAAAAGTGTCAAATAGGAATAAACGCGCGTCAAACTGGATTACATTACTAGCCACTATCCATCTTTGCTTATATTTATGATTAGTCGAATCATAAGTTAGAGAAAATGGTGCATCGAATTACAATTTCACACCTTTAAAAATTCAATTCTTACTGACTACATATCATTCATTAATGATGTTCTTTAAAATAATCAATAATTACTTTTCAGAGAACTAACTGCTCTTGGTATGGGTCTTAAGAATAATACATGTGGATTTGTAGAATTGAAAAAGTATGTTTATTTTCGTTTCCCTATATCAAGTTATATTATATATGTGTAAATGGAGAAATGAATTGATGCATTAAAATTCTAAATGTATTCATAAAGTCAAACAGTTAATCAGTATATTAATTCAATATTTGTTTGTCTCATTTGAATGACATTATACTTGATCTTTTATGATTCAATATTTTTAATAACTCCCCATCACCATTCAGTCAGTGAGTAACAACGTAGAACTTCGTACGTACGTACATCAGTTCGAGTTACCACACCACATTAGCACAGAGATGCAGTTGTCGACTCAAATCCCGTAGTGGTAGAGGCGGTAAGAGTATAAGCAGTAATTGGAAAGATTAGGGTTTGAAGATATTATTCAAGGAGTATAATCCAGTGAAATAAATCTGCAAGGAGAAAAATAAGGAAAATGAAGATTTCAGAAGATTAGAATTTTGGAGAACACAAAGATTGGATGCACATACGCCATTGAAAACGATTTTAAGCCATGTCATTCAAGGTTTCTAACCGTCGGTTGCTATCATCTCGCGGATCCCAACCAGGTAGTCTACACCTACCAACATGGCTCAGCCAACATGTCAGTGAATTCATGGATTTGTGCCATGTTTTGGTATGACCGCCCCTAGCTTTCTTCCGTCCTACTCCTACATCATAAAACACCACACGTCGGTGCAGTTGGTGGTTGAGCATACGTAACATATGTCTCAGCCATCTCAACTGGTGAAGTTTTACTACTTCAATTGATTTGCCATCCTTACCTAGTACCCATTTCCTAACAACTGTATTACTTACTCGGTGGTCCCAGGATATACGAGCAATGTTTCGAAGACACCTGTGATCGAATACTAGTAACCTACCAATATCCTCTACTCTTATCGGCCATGTTTCACTGCCACGAAGTAGGACGGAACAAAATGCAGCGCAGTTAGCACATCCTTTGTTTGGTAGACGGACATCTCGCCTACGCCATAAATGACGCAAGTTGGCAAAAGCTAGTCGAGACTTCTGTATCTGTGCTGAGATTTCGTCACACACCAGACCACATGGGCTGATGAGACCATTACAAACTAATTACAGTCTAGATGAAATTAAACGATTCATCCGATCATATTAACTGGCCAATTTTTCACCAAGTTTGTTTGACAATAAATGTTGATGTTAACCGGTGACTTGAATTGATCAGTTGTGCATCTGAACGTTATATAACGTCCTGTCGATGGCTTCCATGATTGAATGGTGAAATACCACAATACCCATCTCTTCATGATATAGTTAGTACAGCTAAATAGAGGATAATTATGCTCAATTCACATTTATTATATACACTATAAGTCAATGTAAGACAACTCTCAGTAGTAATACCCACTTATAACTTCAGCTAGAATTGAACTCAAGACATAAATTCTTGTGACAAACACAATATGCTTCTATCATTAAGCTGAAAATCAATTATCTAAAAACTATTTCAGGTAGGTGGCTGCATATAGTCAACAGAAAACCCTTGTTGGATCTAATTTTCATGTTGGTTGGGACTAGTCAACAAAGCGTATCTACAATTTTGAGGGAACTAATTTTTCATCCATCTAATCTTGACTGCATAGTGGTTTATTTTCTATATATATTTGTTTCAGAGTTCATCTTATCCAAGGTTCGTTTCCTGCATATTTGAAAAAAGCATGGGATAAATATGATAAAGACAAAAAATCAGAAAACGATAATCCAAGTAAGATAGAAAAAAAGTATGTATATATATAATCATTTTTGTGAAAGAGTGACTTATACCAATCTGAACCATCTTCAGCGCCTTCGTTATGTCAGGGTGGTTGTTAAACATCTAATCTACAACTCTTCATTAAGAGCAGTTTTACTCTATGCTCATGAAACCAGGTCTCTCTGACTTAATGTTAGATAATTCTCCGTCTTCGATGATTGTTATCTCCAAGGGATTGCCGACATTCAGTTGCAATGCCATGTTAATAACGCAGAAGTTCGGCAACGTGTAGTTGGACACAGTGACGTTAGTCAAATTAGTGTTAAAATTTTAAAAAAATCAACTTTGGTAGTTTGGGCATATACTACTAATGTCGTTCCAGTGAATTCCACGTCACGTATTATTTACTGATACTGGGACTGGTTATAAAAAGCGAACAAGCGATCAGTTCACAACATGGTCCAAGGATATGAAAGAGAGTTGTCCAGGGTTGTCATTTGTCAGTCTTTCACATCTCCTGGGTGGGAGTCCTAGAGATAATCCCTTGAGTCTTTATCAGACATTGCTCAGAATAGAAGCCAGTGGTGGTTATGCTGGAACTCTCGGTGTGCTGGTATCCCACTATCCGCACTTCCAGCTTCATTTATTTTATGATATTTAAAGACCGTCATTCATAGATGTTGACACTAACTGTCTTTGACTTCTGATCGTGACTGAAATCCAGTTCATCACAGATTTTCAGATCGTACTGTTAACTATTTTCTAATTAAACTAACCACATAAAACCTTATGAAATACGTACTTATTTATATGGCTTTGAATGTAGATCGACAATTAGCTTGAAGATTTCAAATCTGTTGTTTTGATTGTGAATTTCTATCGACCAAGGCTGCTTTCATATGTGTTGTATCTGCCCAGCTACCACCAAATTTGATATGCGATGTTTACTAGCAAATTAGAAGAAAACTAGATGTCGTTGGACTAAAATCTGTTATCAATCCATTAACTCGTTGACTGTCGAATTAAGCCAAGTTTGTAGTAGCCGTCTTGCATCTGTAGTTGGATATGTTGGATGAAATGGATCAGAATCGATCATAGTAGTCTATATGCATCTCATCTTTTTCGATTCTTAATTCCCAATACCTTATCATACATTTCAGTCTATTCTATTTTCTTCAACCGTATTGTCTGCAATAACGTCATTTAACCAGCGATTAAATTTTACATCTTATAGAAACATTAACCCACTAGTTATGACCATACATCATCTTTTTTACACCTGTAATAGTACTAAAATTAAATTCATTTAGTTATTTATCATATTAAACAAAAGTTTATTATCAGAAGGAGTTTTGTGGAGATTTAAGTAATTCCAATAGTTGAAATCCTAAGTCGTGGATTGGTTGAAGTTAGACATTAACACCGTTGATGCCGGCTCAGTGGTCTAATAGTTAAGCGCTCACGCTCGAGACTGATAGGTCCTGGGTTTGAATCTCGCGATGGGCGGGTTCGTGGATGCGCACTGCCGAGGAGTCCCATACTAGGACGAAACGGCCGTCCAGTGTTTCCAGGTTTTCCATGGTAGTCTAGCTTCAATTGACTCATGATTTCAATTATTGAAAAGTTTATTAATTCATCTCTCTGTCTTTCGCCTTTAAGGTATCTTTCCTAAAACTCAATTATGGGTTGCTTTAGAATCAGCATTTTGTGGAGTTACTCTAGAAAATAATGTTGTAAGTTAATTTAATTATCCCGGTGTTGATACTTTTTTGTTGCTGACTATAATTCGTTCAGTTTTAGTTGGTATCTGTGGTTCCTGTACCGATTGTCTTGATATAGTCATTATGACAAAAGTTTATATACCATAGATGAAATGTGTGGTTGGCCGTGGGATTCAGAACATGAGTTTCATCTTATTTGAGACTTGCCTTTAACTGGATGTACTTACATCTCAGGTTTGATCTCAAGTTTGGGACTCAAACCCAATCGCTTTCGTTTGAAATGCCAGGGCGTTCAAATCTCGAAATGAATATTGACCCTCCAATTCAAGTAGATTTAGCTGAAGACGAGTCCTAAACAGAACGAAATGAATGTCGTGGATACTAATGCTAGACATATTCCGTCTATTCTATACTAGTATTGTTAATCGTTAAACAATTCAATAAAAGCTTTATCTTTTTCTCTAGTATTGTTGTTATTACTACCACTTTTTTGTAGTTAAGTAAAACTCGATATCGAATATATTTTGGCTACAATAGTCTTTCTAGTAAATAAATCAACTGAAATAATCCTCAGTTATGAACTAAATGAACTGTACTTAAGTCATCAACTCCAATGTGTCATACAATCCAAAGTTATATTGCGATTGTTCAGATAAATAGTCTATAATTGGATGAAATAGTCTGGTCGTCCTCTCATTTTCGTAAACAACAGCGGTACCACGAGAAGGCAGTGAGTAGGACTTCTTTGGGAGAAGCTGTATACGTGTGGCCGTGTGAGAGCATTTCGAGAGGGAGGGCGGGCTCACCCCACTCTCGGCCATACCAGAGCATTTGGGGGCAATTTTAGTATATGTACCGCCGAAGCGAGGATGGTTATTTGGAATAACAGATACTGTTATTTCCTATCTAATTTTCCAGATTCACAAGATTATTGAGTCTTTTGTGTATAGCTTAGGTGTTTGAGGTACGAATTGAGATTTCATACGAACACTTTTCAATATAGATCATACTATAATCAATACAAATTAATCTGTCAATACAATGAATGTAAACGCGACCTCCTTTATGTTAGATTGAACTAAAACATTTCAAAGTGTTATTTGTTTAATAGAATTTTTTAAAATTATTTCTGCATATTTTCTGGAGGCGTTTTCAATTCTTCTGTCATAGTGTGGCGGTAAAGTAAAACTTCGTTATCTGATGCTCAATTTATCTGAAATTATCAAATCGACCTTTAGTATGAATACCTATTTATTATTATTATTATTATTATTATTATTATTATTATTATTATTATTATTATTATTATTATTATTATTATTATTATTATTATTTTCCACATTAGCCAATTTGCCCATGTGCCCGTTTATCTATTCTATTACAAATTGGTGTATCGTTAGCTGTCGCTGAACTAGAATTGAAATTTGAACATAGAGATTTACATTGGGGTAATGTTTTAATCAGTCATTCATCATCATCTCCCAACTCTTCTCCTTCATCATCAATATCCAGTAATGATAATCTCTGTCCGTATTGTTGTACATTATACAATGAAGAGAATGAAAAATCATATGTGAAATTTCGTTTAGAAGGATATGAATGGAATATTCCAAAATTTCGTTACATTGTTCATTTGATAGATTTTACAATGTCTCGTTTAGAACAAGGTGAATTACTTTTATTTTTTTCTCAGAGGAAATGACAAAATTGTTATGTGTTTTTATTTTTCTATGACTTGAATTGTTCACATTTTTCAAAAGTTAAATATTCATTATTTGCAAAGATGAATGATGGTTAGTAGTGGAATCCAGTTTGACGCGTGTTTCGTCCTATTTTGGACTCGTCAGCTGGATGTGTACCTGCATTCCAGAGTTGCTGTTTACTCCAGGACACAAACCTAGTACCTTTCGCCGTTGCCCACCATCTATATTTGCTTATAATTCTTGTGACTCAAAGTAATATCAAGGTAATCCGCACAGGATGAATATATGCCAATAAGAGACTGCTCACTTACAGTCGTAACCACCAATCGGAAGATTCAAACAAAAAATACAAAATGAATTTAAATATTCATGTTGGTTTTTAAAACTTATATTGTTATTTTGATAGTTTGGATCACGAATTGATCTTGGCTAAACCATCATTAGAAACCTGGGAGCACTCGAAGAGTGTTTCATTCTAACATGAAAGTCCTCAATAGTACGCATCCAAAATAATTATATGTTTATTAAGTTAAGGTCAGTTTACAATAAAAACTTTAACACTTCACTAACATTTACAGATCTCCCTACAGCAATAATAAGTACGTGTTCACTTGTGACTAATTTTTAAAAATAATCCTTTCCTCATGTTCTAGTGAGAAACCGTAACCAATGAAGTTTTTGTCTTTATATGTCAGTTAATCATCAATAATCTTAAAAGATAGTTGCATATTATTGTGAATTGTTTGGAGTTAAACGCGTAAATCACTGAATGTCAACTCGTATTTGATTTTGAGCTACACTTTAAATATGGGAGCTAGTAAAACCGGCAATCGCGTTGCTCAAACAGAAGTTGGTGAAAAGTGAAGGATACACTTGATAAATCTTCTAATTAAACTTTAGATTCGGTTTCCTAAGCTGTTCTAGTAACCCTCAGGTTAAACCGACACAGCAAATTGTACACGAAAGAAAAGGCGCGAAATATGGAAGAAACGCATTAATCCAGGGTCCATTTATGTACAGAAAATCCTGGGAATTTATAACATTTTAGATGGCCTTGGGTTTCCGGAAAATCTTGGAATGCTACTAAACATAATACCAGTATAGATAATCAGAAACGCGACATGTAACTTCCCACTTTTTAGATGTTTCTGTCAAAACTCCTATTGAATACTGACTGGATAGGATGTTTCTCAGTGTTTCCAGAGCCTTTTTTGGCTTTATTTTTCGAGGAATTTTCTGTATCTCCCCAACAAGACTTGTGACTTAATAATTGTAAGTCGAATGCTGAACTATGGTTCAGCGAATAATAGTAGTTCACTGCTATTTAAAACAGTTAAGTGTTCTCACTACGCATTTTACTAACTTGAAGCCTCTTTACTCTACTTCGAAGTTTTGATAACTGGATAACATTAGTATTCTTTATGCCAAAAATACACAAAACTCAAAATATGAATCTGTATATTAAATTGTTGATTTACAACAATTTGTTCACTTTCTTCGTGTTAACTTAACCTTCCATTGTTTTACTTGATTGGTTGTTTTTCTGTTTATTCCTTCCAACTTTCAGATGAAGGTTTAGTCTACGTTGATTTAAGCACTGATCCAACTTTATTTCAATCACAAGGTGATTATCAATTTGATATATATCGTCATATGAAATCTGCAAATCAGTAAGTTTTTGTTTCTTTGTTTTTAATCATTAATTATCATATTTCACTTAGACGGAGAGAACCATTGAAAGCAGAATGGGGCAGGTAGTATTAGACTGTATGTCTATAATACATGAAATTCCCTTAACAGTCTTTCCCCATCAATCTACCAGGAATCGAGTCATGGTAAAAATTTGTAGCGGATTACTCACTTGGGTTTGATAAACTAAATTTTCTGTCAATTTCCTCTCTCTTTGTGTGTGCTAATAAGTCGTAGCACATCGAACCGTTATACATATGTGCCCGGTCCTCAGTCAACCAATCAGATGCAGCGGAGAATCTGGCATATGTGTACATCGGTTAATATGCCACAGAGCATTAATATTGTCAAAGTAAATACCAGAGTAGTATAGGTAGTGACAGTATTAGTGATAATAGAAAAAGTAAGACATTCATGATATAACTCCAGAATGAAGTGCAAATTGGTGCGATAAAAATGGCTTGATGAAAACATTTAACAACTTAGAATTTCAAGGAAGACAAAGAGTGTATACACCTACGCCATTGTGATCGATTCCGAGCCATGTCACTCACAGTCTTCAACCATCAGGTTACGATAATCACACAGACCTCAACCAATTAGACTGTGTCTACCAACATAACTCAGACTAGAAGTTAATGATTTCAACCACTGATGTCACATTTTATTTTGGCCGCCCCTACAAATAGGATATTAGTAAACGTGAGTAGAATGTGATAGAGTGAGAAAGATTGTGTTCGTAGAAAGAAAGGTATTAAGTAATTCTAATCTCTCACAGTTTAAGGGAAGACAAAGTGTGTGTATACCTACGCCATTATGATCACTCAACACTATACACCTTCTATTACTTAATATTTATATCCAAGTTAAATACTAAACTTCTTTACATTGAATATACTTTATTTATTTTCTTTGACAGTAATGATTGGAAAAAATTTACACCTATAACTAATGTAATGTGGTTTCATTATTTAACAACAAAATTATGCACTAATTCAGACCATTCATCATTATCGTCGTCGTCGTCGTCATCATCGCAATTACATAATGTATGTTGGAAACAATTACATAATTTAGAATTTATGACACGTTCCTTTGATAATTATAAATCTGCATATCATTTAGTTACAAATTGTAATATATTTAAAAATTTCTCTGATTTTTTAAAGATTTCTTAATATACTATTATTATATTCTTCAGTTGTTCCATTCTGATATTCATATATATATATATACTGACAATTATATGGTTGTGGAAATTGTTGAATTTTTTTTATTGAAATCATAAGTTGATAGATGTTAGACCACTGTTGAAAACCTGGAAGCACTGGATGACCGTTTCGTCCTAGTATAGAACTCCTTAGCAGTCCGCATACAATATTCGAACCCAAGACATTCAGTCTCGCTCGCAAATGCTTAGCCTCTGGACCACTAAGCTGCTGGAATACAACGGTGTTAATGTCTTATTTTAAACAATTCACGATATTATCTAACCACTTTGCATTGTCTTCCGTGGCTAACTGCAGCCTCACACCCTATACGGATTACTTTCAATGGCTACAGCTTCTCACTACAACTCCGAGATCCACCTCTCCAAGCTAGTCACGAGTTGTCAGCTAGCATAACATAATAATTATCAGTATAGGGTTGTGGAGATTGTTGACTAATTTCATCATTCAGATTATCAATCGATCAATATGATGCCTGGTGGTGACAGATTACATGCTAGCTGTGTCGAAGTACACTGTGCACAAACCTGAGTAGTGTGATGAAAATGGGGGTGTTCGCGAGCGCTTAACCTCTAGACCATTAAGCCGGCATCCAACGGTGTTAGTGTCTAACTTTAACTGATCGACGACAAACGGTCATACAGTGCTTCCAGGTTGTTTAACAAAACAATATACTTGCTTTGCGAAAACTAGTGAATAGGAAGCTTTTATTAGTTAATGAAATAGGAAATATTATAAACATAACTTATCTATAAATATAGATGTCCCTCAGAGAACTGAGCTAAACATTCGACCAATATCGTGTACCTTTCCTTAGAAAGCTAAACCTAATATCGACCGATAAAGTATATCCATCAGTATTTCTAACCCAATATTTCGTTCTAAACTGGCATGTCTGATTAACCCAGTGCATTATCTTTGCTTTCTGATTAATTATCTTGGTTTGTTTTTCGATTGAGTAATAGGAAGGAGGTAATGGCAAATCATCTTCATTTCTTGGAACATAGAGAAGTGTATTAAATCAAATGTTTGATATCATTTTTTTATTATCGCTCCTCAACTTCTAATTTCTATTTCTGAAAACAAAGAGTGGTTAATGATGATGTTCTTTCTTCGATACCATACTTTTGTTTGTAAATGGTTTATCATAATCTGTTCTAGATGTACAGTATATTTAATTTCTAATATGATTCATAAAATTTAATGCAACATCACATTTAAAGTTAATAACATGATTATGAAATCAAAGAACAACCTTTGAATAACACACTATCGGTACTTGTAACATGATCTTTAATAAGATGAATACTTGACCGATCAAGTTCGTGTTAAGATTTACAAAGAATGAATTAAATGTCAAAAACACTTTTCAAATCAATCAGTCAGCTACAACGTAGGACCTGGCACATATATTCATCGGTCCAAATCGCTACATCTCATTAGCACGTCAAGACGATCGCCAAATTCATAAAACTAGTTACTTCAATGGTGGCAATATATAAAAGAAAGATTGCAGGAAGAAAGATTTAGTTCGTAGAATGAAAGGTATAAAGTAATTCTAATCTCGCACTATTTAAGGGAAGACAGAGAGCGCACACACCTACACCATTGTGGTCGAGTCTGAGTTATGCTACCCAGAGTCTCCAACCATTGATTACGATAGTTGTGCGGACCCCAACCAAGTAGTGTGCATCTACCAACATGACTTTACTAAATGATGTCACGTTTTGGTTTGGCCGCCCCTAGCTTTCTTCCACCTGTCTCCAACACTAATCATCGTGGTAATCGGTGTTCAGGCATAAGTATCACGTGGCCCAACCATCTCAAATATCGTCTAATCATATGAGTAGTCTCATACTATGACGAAACGGTCGTCCAGTGCTTCCAGGTTTTCAATGATAGTTTAGCTTGAATTTAACTGTTAAAATATGATAATCGACATTTGGATAATTTGTACTTACGACTGAAATCGAAATAAATATTTAAATAATGAATAAATAAGATGCTTTAATCTAATCGTTCCATCGGATACGGGATTGAGATTCAAATGAAGCTAAACAATATTAGTAGCTATATACTTGAATAGCGATTGCTCAGCGTGAGACGAGCGAGTCCCATCTCAAATCGTGGTTCAATAAAACATTAGTGAATGCACCACAGACGCATTTCAACATAAAATCTGTCTGGTGACCAATTGAATAATGAATAAATGTACAATAGTTGTAATTGGCATAATTCATCCATGTCAAATGTGTATCAATCAAAGTGATTTCTAATATCATTAGAATTCTGAATGAGATGACCATTTCCTAGACCGTGGAGGGATACGTTTTTTAGCGACCTAAGAAGAGAAGTGGGTTAATGGTAGTTTTGAAACTATGACCTACCTTAAGGGTAGTCATACATGTTTCTGATGTGTTATGTCCCTACCATGAAATGAAAAGTGCCAAACTACTCCCTTATCTTAAACATATTCATTGGCCATTGTACATTTTTGTTATAACTTGTACCCTGTGTCCTATTAATGTAGAACGTGATGACACCTCCAATTAGAGAACAGTGATTTGTCAACTGAACCAATGACGTATAAAACCCGTACGAGCAGTTTAGAGTACTTATTGGTCCTGCTTCCTGCCTAGCCCATACAGTTCAGTCCAGAACACCAATCTCACCCTCTGCGATATGAATGATTTATTTCAAGCACACTTGGTTTATATACCAGCCCAACAGACTACATCGTGCCATAAAATAGGAAACAACATTTGTACAAGATTTAGCCAAAAGTAACTGTGAATGTGGAAGATCGTAATTGATAGACTGGACATATCTCAAGAACCGTAAGTCGCATAATAATAGTTCATAAGTCAAAATAAAGCTTATAATAAGAGGAATATGAATAGTTTAGTTACTTAACAATGATATGATAAAAATATACTTATAGTATAGGTCCATAAATGGATCCCAAGAATCGCCATTCATTATTCGTATCAGGATATAACAATTTTTTAATGATTAAACTTGAAAATAAGGAAATCATTCAAGTTAGAATATTATTTTCAAATGTAATACATGAAAAATTCAGCGAGACTATAATTTATGGACGACGTTTGAGCGACGCTAGACTGACTTTGAGGATGTCCACTCAACAACTAGGGCCAAATGAAGGTAATAAACCTGTATGGGGAATTGGAATTATAATTTACAATTGATGATTAAGGTTAGGAATTATATTTCGGGTTTTCATCACAAATTGATATCAGCTAAAATGCCAAGGCTAATTAACCGAATGGATCAATGAACTTCGCGCTAAAATTCGAGACCTGTTATCTTATACCTGATTGCTTGGTCCATAAATTATAGTCTCGCCAAAAAATTCACATAATGAAGTTTTAAGTATGACACAAACTACTTATTATTAGTAGTACATAGTATATTATATAACATGAATTGGATGAAGTTAAAAACTTTTATATCATGAGGATTTAATTGTAATTGGAATATATGATGCTAATGGAATGAGTTAAGCGGTTGTAATAGTTCACTTTTTGAATGAGTATTTACAACCAAATTAATGAAACTTTATAAACTTTGATGTTCTCATTATGGAATGTAATTTATGATGAGTTGTATTCATTTATGTGTCACAAATATGGTTTCTAAATGAGACAATTTTATTAATTCAACAATTGACTTAGGAACAAAATTTTTTTAAGAAAAAGCCAGTTTCACATTTGTAGTGTTTACTGTTCAATTGTTATTTGATGCACTGAATGTTCATGAGCAAAAACTTGTGATAGATTATCTGGCTTGTATTCATGACTATGTAATAACGGACGAGGACGGTAGATTTACCTCTCCCTGTCGAAATGTTCTCACATGGCCACGCGTATACAGCCGCTGCCAGGGCAGTCCTACTCATTGCCTTCTCGCGGGGGGTCACGAAATTAAGAGGAAGAGAAGCGAATGTCCGGCGCCTTAAACGGGTTGGTGGACCTGGGTGGTCCACCTAGGGTAGTTGGAAAACCCTGATTACAAACGAATTGTGCACATGGGCTCCAGTATCCTGAGGGAACCGAAGACGTATGAACCCATTGTTGGTCACCTGCTAGCATTGGACTGAATCTCCTTACGTTGCTCCACCACCATGTGGTTAGACTTTTAGGTCGGGGTGTTGGGACTCCTAGGAAAACCTTCATGTTTCCGTATGTAAAAACGAATTACATGAAATAGACGGTAAAAATTTTGAGAATCCATAGTTCAACACGTGAATTTAATTTCAATTATGTTTTAGTTATGAAAACCGAAATCCAATTTAAAGATATGAATCTAGCAGCTATCATCGCTTAATATCTACATTAGTCAGATAGTTGTTTATGTGGAGGTAAGAAACAGAAGTATACAGAATGTCAATTATTTCATGAAGAATGGTAATATGTAGCTTCAGAAATACATAAAGTAATGTAACCCCTAACATATTTATTTCATCTACTGTTGAAGAGATATGTGATATACATTTGTATACTTCGAAGTAGGTGTGTGGATGAACATACTAATATTTCGATGTAACTTGGAAAAGCCTCAATTATTTTTGAGAGTTATTTATTAAGATAATTCACTAAAGAAAATAACTTGATGAGACTATGATTTATCAAAAACCTTTATGCGATGCTAAAGTGGACTTTCAAATAATCACCTATTTACTGGGGTCAAGAGAAGTCTGCAATTTAGTGTGTGGAGCTAGGATTAGGATTCAAAGTCAGACGTTAGGAATTAGAGTTAGACTTTTCACTGCGAACTGACAGATATAATGTCGAAATGCTATTCAGTCATATGAATAGATGAATTTCGCGCTAAGGTCTGGTGACTGGTCCGTCCATAAATTATAAACTTACTAACAGCTTTTTCCAAGTAGATAACGCTTTTCAAAACAGGCAGAATAATGAAATTCTAGGAAAAGCCTCAAATTTCTATTGTTTGAATACTGTGAAATCAACGTTTCATCATAGACCAGTTGGTGTATTTAGTAAACAAGTTGGAGACCATGGATAATATTCCTAGCTTGTGATGAGCATGTTGTGTGTGTTATGTTATTCTTCTAGCCCGGAAGACATGACAACAATAAATAGACAGATAACTGATTAATCATCAATTTATATATTTTTTCAGTATTTCAAATTAGTTATCTTTTCTTCAGTAGGTCGAACTCCATGAAATAAAATATTCTCAAATACAGGTATTGAATTCATTTTCTTGTTAAATTTGAAATGTTTACATTGTGATCAAATTGTGAAATTCAACCATCCAATAATGAAATGTTAACCGAGGTTATCCGCGAAGTTTTAAGTGTTCAGTCATCGCCATTGACGATATATCACAGTTGTTACATTTAAAATCACCGCAACACAATAACAACAATTGTCATGTGGTGATAAATGTATAACGCTAACAGAAAATTGCTGAAGTAATCGATGAAGTTTTCCGACGTCAGATATGAGATAAATAATTACATTTAATGACAATCAGGTAATAATACAAATTGATTGTTATTAGGAATGTGAACCAATAAGAAGCTAGGCGCTCCCTGTGATGCCTGACGTTTCTGGATTCGATCATTGGAAAGAGCGTGACTTCACTGTTACGAAGTCCCAAATTTGGATGAAACATCTATCAAGTTTCTTTTAGGTTTTTAATGGTTGTCCAACCAAATTTAATACGTGGTGTGAAATTTCAGATTAAAAAAACTCCGTAGCATTCTATAATGAAATTTCATATCTAAATTCAATAACTTCATGAGCTAATGACATATTCTGATATGACTATATGAATTCATCTAAAAAGCTATTTTCATGGTTTTCAGCAAAGTATGTTAATGGATCTAGTGGAAGAATATGTGTAGCATTTAACTTAACTTCATCAGCTGATGAAATTTTACAACTTTATGAACTGATTTACAGTTTCTTTACATATTTTAAATGTTTTGAAATCTCTACAGCAAACTAAAAGCCAAATGATATACAATGTAAAGTTTGAATAGCTTAATAAAAGATTATTTACAAAAAAATCGATTTTGTTGATAAAATAAAACACAAAAATAGTGTCAAGAGTAAAATAACTTTGTTATTCATGGATAGTGTTGTAGTTTTATTACAACCATCTCTGTCTTGGCAGTAGCAGACTTCTTTGTAAACACCTTGTGCTTCAAACCAATAACGACAACTCCAGGCTAAACCTAAAATAAAAGTTATTTTGAATGAAAGGCTACTTTCCTGTACAATTTGAAAATGTAATAACTAATTTAAATGTTAAAAACACAGAATGTAACTAATAGGCAAATGTCTCACTACTACTGACTGCGTTATTATATTTCTTATTTCGACATATGAATGTCTACACACACAAATAGGTTGGCAAATCCATTGAGATATGAAGCAATAATTTATATGCTTTTGAAGCCTACTTGGGACGACGAATTTATCTATTTCAATGACAGTTCATTTGACAGCATGTTGTTTTTTCTCAAAAGCCGTTCTTGACCTCCGTTTCAAGACTATGGCAACGTAATGTAAACTTTTTGAAAATGAGTAACGGAGGAGTTGTGATGGTAAATGATTTACACTCCAACTTATCAACGTCAGCGAGCACTTTTTTTATTACCACTTTTCCGGTCACAGTCTTAGTTTATACTTCAATCATATCTCGAATGCAGATTTATTGTAATTCAATGAAGAAGCACCCTACTACGCTGCACTTGTATTGCGATAGAAACAATTGTGGAAGCTGAAGTATATGACCAGTCCAGACGGACTCCTACAAATGATCGTTTGATATCCGAATCATTTTTCCAATCAAAATATACTTCTTATTGGTCAGTACATGTTTTTACTACGTTATTAAGTCGCTGTAAAATTCAAGTCACATCCAAATCCCTATGATGTATTACTGACATACATTCCGCGCACTTTGCTTACGAAATAAGCTCACTCGTCACGTTTTCAGTAGATTACAATGCATAAATCGGTTGAGAGTGGTTCCGAAAGATCAACTTGCTCTTAATGTTACGAGAAGTGTAGCTTTTCAAAAAAGCTATTCTATAAGTTGGTCTCGACATTTTTTAATAGAACTTTGAGAATTTAGAACATTCGCTTTTTGCCATTTATTGTCAAATCCAGTTTCGAGAACTAATTGTAAAATTGTTTGAGCGATAGTATCAAAAGTTGGTGATAATATCCTAAAACACAAGCATATTTTTTTCATGTAGTTGTAACCTATTCTGTTACATTTAATAGTGATTTTTATTAAGGTATAGACATTAAATATTGTTAAATTCGCAATAACGGTTATTGTCACAGATATTATTTCATGAGACAATGATTATCTTTTCTAAAATTCATCTGTTCATTTACAAAATTTTTTATTTCAAATACATAAGCGAATACTTAAAACCATGCAAAGACATCAAACATGTGTAGATTTGATGTAATTCAAAACTCATAACTCATCACGTACAGATATTGGTGAGAGTTTACACATTTTTCATAGTTAAACAAATATAGAGTATTGTTTTATAGTCTTTAGACGTTAAAGAAACATGATTACAGTTGATTTAAAGATTTGGAAACCATGGGTTATATACATTTCAATGAAATCACTCCTTAACTATCAATCTTAATTATTTCCTCCCCATATTAGAATTATGGGCAATTAAGAAGATCCGCAAAATAACGAGTGCGTGGGCATTTCTCATTTTTAAATTCACATGCCAAGCAAGGAGGTTAATAATAAAACCGTTTTTACGTTTTGCATATAAATTAGAGTTGATAAACTTGTAACTGAATATAGAAGGTAAGTTGAGGCAAACTACTTTAACATAAGATTTTAAATATCTCACCATAGTCAGTTCGTGCACCACAAGTCCGTGTGACTTTTATCCATGAATGCCAACCAGTGCTTTCTTGATAAATTTTTACACAAAATGTTCCGGGTGAATGTGATAAAAAACTACCACAATCTATCATTGCATTAAGTCTAGTATCGAAAAATCTTCCGGCTGGACACGAATCATCTTCATTACTATCGCACTGATAACATCGAATAGCCAATACTTCTAGTAGGTTAGAAAATTCAAGTATACAAAATTATTCATTCAGTATATCTGGCAAGATCGGTTTACCGAAATCTCTGAAAGAAAACAATTTACCTATATACCATTTTAGTAGCAAATGATGATGCAAATAACTCCTATCACGCACTTTACTTGAAAAGTACGTTATAATGATATAATATGATGATATGAAGTTGCGAACTCAAATATAGAAATTATTGTTTAAGAAATCGATTTTCATCAAAATTTGTGTACGCTTTATATAATATAAAAGCTACAAGTTATTAGCAATAGACACAATATGTTTGATACTCTGTATAGTTCTCTAAATTCTGCTTCATGACAATTCGATAAAGCAAAACGTCATTTCCTGCCAACTGTTAATGATAATAATCGTTGTTTTGCACGATTTCAAAAAATAAAGTATTTCATAGTTTGCGTGCATATCCAATGATACGGTGAAACTATTTATGTCAAAACATTTTCGACTTCAATATGGTGCTACATAGTATTATTAGAATTTCGACACATTTGAAGCGGGTAATTCACTCCATATATCCTTCACTTAATATATGTATTTACATTGTTGTGTTTATTAAGTTACCGGACACATATTAAACTAGAATATGACCCAAAACCGTTGGTATAATCTCTTTTTTTTAATAGAATTTTCAAACTTGTGGTCATTTCAATGAGAATGACTATAGCCATAGGAGTTAAGCAGTAGGTTCTTTTTTTTCCTGGTGGCACAAATACACTATCTAGATAATCATATTTTAACTGGTGAACCTTGAGTAATTAGAAATTCTTCATACTTGCCTAGGTGGAACGTAATTGAAACAGAGGTGTCTTCCCATAACCAAATTTCTAAAGATTTGAATAGCTTTTGTATGAGTCCGTGCGAATTATTTTGAAAGTAGATTTATATATAACTAGGTTACCCAATAATGTGAATGTACATTCACATAGTAATACGTATTACTAGTTTTAAAAGTTCTTTGTCCCGTAGATAACATGGAGAAGTTTACTTCCACTCGTGTTAAGCAAAATATACTGTCAAATAACAAAATACTTAGACAACGATAAAAACTAACCATTCTTGTAGAAAAGCAATAAAATGTAAACAGGAAACAAAAATATAAACATTTTTGAAGGTTTGCTGCCGTTCGACCTTGAAAGTAGTGAATGTTAGATAAGAAAAACTCATCTGTCAAGTAGCCTCCGTGTTTGCGCGTTGCAAATAACAGTATTTGGGAAGTTGTACATAGACGAGCTTAAAAATAGATAATAATTAAATAGAAAAAGTCACTAGAACTTATTTTCATCTCTTTTACTAATCCCAACATATAGACTTCTAGTTGGAAGAATCAAGTGATATAACCGGCTGCGCAAAAGTGAGTTCATGCCTGTTGTTTTCTTCATTTCATGTTCAAAAGGCATCTCTGTCTTTTCGATTACTGAGCGAGTGTTATCTGAGTCTTTTTTCAGTTCAAAACATGAAATGGTTCCGGCTTCTTGCAACTGTACGTGTTGCAAAGAACATGTAGCTATTTTCTTATATATGCTTTTAAAGGAGATCTACTATCAAATAATTTAACCCTGAGTAACGCACTCAACATGTCAATAACACTAAAACGACGTAGTCAACAATTTCACTCGATCATACTTTCCTCACTTTTGTATGCTTAATCAGTAACTCTCCTTTGATAATATTATCGTTGATAAGCACTCACATATACGAATTGTTGAGTACAAAAATAAGGAACTCCTGCAACCCATAGATGATAATAAAAATGTGTTACCGAGACTGCCATACTTTCTCTTCGAAGATATGAAGAACTGGAGATAATATTCAAGAGCTTCTACCGCCTATATATGAAAACTCACTATACTTTTGGATTTCTTCTCTTTGTGATCGAGTGAGAGAAATGTTACGTCATATGCAGTGTCTATTCGCAATCTAAATACTAAGGGTAATAAATTTCCTCCCACCTGGGGTTGAGTTCTAACAGGTTGCTACTAGGCTCAATGTATTCGTGCCAGATCTAGGGACAGGCTTTCTGGTACCTCTGGAGCTGTTCGGCTTGTTTTTTTCGACAAAACCAATCTTTATGACCCACATCTTTGTATTTCCTGCACCGATGTTGTTTATATGGATAGCTTCGAGCAAAATGCCATTCACCGCGGTGCCTGCATGGGGCAGGATGATTTGTTTTTGTCTGTTGACCTTAACTAGATGTCGATGGGGCAGATTATTGCGAGTAGGGTGGTTGTTGGACTACATGAATTTTAGTATGATCTGAACCACCACTCTGGACCATAGTAGTGTCACTCTGTAGATTGAGTAGTCGTTGAGATTCGTTTGCAATATCATTAAGAATTAGTATTGGGTCTTTATCCAGTCAGCTTATTAAGCGTTTCATATCATGTCCAATAACTCCAGTAAAAGAGGAATTTCTTCAACTTCTAAGCCAAATAAAAAGTCCAAATCTGTAATCTCTACAACTGACGACTCAGTGCTTGACAATGTCGAATTTTTAACTACTGAAAAATATGTGTATTGTACACAAATGTCTCTATCGTCACCAGATTCTCCATGTCGCAGCCCCTCTATCTCTACGTGCAGTCTAAAATTTCAAAAACTAAAGAGTCCAATGGTCCACTTCATACACACCAAAATACTGATAGATATAGTAATGAAATCCGACAGCTGCAAAACTCTCTATCCGAAATTAACGGCAAACTTGAGCAAATACCACCCCTCACTCATATATGGGGCCTTGACACAGACAGAAATCTTGAGCAACTCACTAAAGCTGAGTGTATTTTGGAGTTTGTGGCTGAAGAAGTGACGAAGAGATTGATGTCCTCCTTCAATGCAGTTGTGTATAACCTTCCCGACCGCACACACCCATCTAAGTTAAGAGATATTTGCCTTAGAGCATGCGGTATGCCGAACGTTAACTGCAATGCCATCCGCCTTAGAAAAAAGTCAGACAGATCAACCCCCTCCCCTTATGTTTAGCTGTTGTAACGATGCTAAGCAGTTTATTGATTTCAGCAAAAACATTGGCTCACTAATTCCATACAAAAATATAAAAGTCACTCCAGACCTTACGCCCTGTCAACGTCGTGTAAGAAGACGCGAAGCGATAGAATTGAATGGGAGTGTTACAGTTAATAATCAGCCAGAGACAGTTTGCAAAACAGCAAATAGTTTAAAACACACGAACAATAAGCATGACACCACTCCACATACGACTGATTGCTCTGTTGATCTAGATGAGTCTACAGATCAGAAACCTTTGGATAAGATACGGACCCCAACTGACACCAAAAACCATAACGACATGACTAATCCCTGCTGTTCGTTTAGTAATGTACTAAAATGTGAGTCGTGTAACAACACACGTGCAACTAAACCTATACACTTGAAAATTTGTCCTCCTAAAGATATTCCACAAGTAGACTTGAATGAACGTAAGTTCATCTCACAAAGACAACGAAAGACTCCAGCTCTGAAAACAAAGGGTGGGAAGACAAAACTCATGATACCGAGTAGGGAAACACGTAAGATTGAACCCAACTGCTCTATAGGTATCCAAATAACAGTGGACAGGTTCTTCCCGCTGCTATCGTATAACTTGCCTTCAGCACCTCCAAGTTGCAAAATGGGTGGTGGGCTTCAACGTAGCAAGCCTTCTTACACGCAGACTAACGTAAACTACCAGAGAACTGCCCACCTAAATCACCCCCTGAAGCCTAAAACCATAAATAAGAATGGTAATAGTAGGTTTCTCACTCCACACCCTACCTACATTCCCTAGGATCGCAACTGTAATTACTCTCAGAAAGAAAACTCCTCATACCCTTTACTACCGACCCATCACATAACAACGGCGCCCATTTATAACAATAGTTGCAACTCCTCCCAGTTACGCGTAGCAGACCCCTCTCATGCTAACGTAAATAGCCATAACAGGAACTACGAGTCTAACCATCAAGACTATTTTGTAAATAACCATACACTTCACAGTAGGCCTGTACAAGATTTTTTTGGAATAAGACCCCTAGTGACACCTCTGTTGAAGCATATAGCCCAGGTTATTTCAAACCACATGCAAACCATAAATTTGTTTCCTCCGTACAGTTTCCATCACAGAGTACTCCCACCCTTTCCTCCTGGGTAAACTCCCCAATCAACTTCACTAGCTCATTTGATACATCTCCCACTAAATCTAGCTATCAAAATACCGAGCTAATGAAAAACATTCAATCCCTCATTTCAAACTCATCTCACACCCGCGAGGGTTACGACGACTTTATCCGGGATACCCTCAACCATTTTAACTTAGTAGGTCACTTGCTTAATATATGTCTTATCAACGCTCGGTCGATCTGCAACAAAAAGACGGATTTAGCCCTGTTTGTATCCATATATCAACCATCAGTTATTATGATATCTGAAGCATGGACTAACAGTAATATTTCCGACCAAAGTACATCTTTTGATAACTATTTCCTGTATAGAAGTGACAGATTGAATGGACGAGGCGGAGGATGCCTTATTTACGCTCACTCTAGCCTAAACTCACTACTATGTGATATGCCTGAACTAAACAAACTGAAGGATTCGGTGTGGATTGTATTAAAGCTGTCGAATTCCGTTACCTTACTGCTCGGCTGTGTTTGTCGTCAACCTAACGCACCAATAGATGATATAGCAGTATTATCGGAGGTATTCACACTAGCATCATCCCTCTCATTCACAGACAAGCTCATTTGTGGTGACTTCAATATGCCCGAAATTTCATGGCTCCCAGCCAAAGCGCCGAGACATTATGAATCATTTATTGAATGTCTAGAGCTTGGACAATGGACTCAGTATGTCGATAGCCCTACCAGACATCAAAACATCTTAGACTTAGTCTTTACCAGTGGCCTCATCCCCAATACATTGTATATTGGAAAAACGTTCCCAGGTAGTGATCATAACATTGTCATATGCAGCCTTAATATACAAACCACAACCGGCAGAATTAAAACCGTAACATTTCGTAGAAACTATCGCAAGGTTGATTGGAATAACTTCCACAATTACCTAAGAAGCACTGATTGGGGAACTTTTTTTACCTCAAACAATACCGACACATTAACCAATATATTTTATCACAACATCAAAAGTATCATCAACAACATCACACCTTTAGAATACTGTAAACCTGCGTTCTCCAAAGATCTCTATATACCGGTCAGTACAAGAAGACGTCTTCAAAGACATTGTACTCAATTCCACAACTTAAATGACTTTTCCTCTTTAGTAACGATGACAGAAATACTTTTCCGAAGAGGGACAATAAGTAAGCAAAAAGCAGTCACACAGGAAAAACGTGCAGTTGAACTTAATAATAACTCCTCTGCACTAACCATACTACTCCAAAATAAACTTAAACGCTCTAAATCGAGAGGGAGTATATTCATTAAAAGCAAACAAGTATACGAAGATCCCAAACTTGTCACAGAATTATTTAGTGAACATTTTTGTTTCTCACTAACTAACGAAAAACCATTTAATGATTCAGAACCAATCCCAGTAACTCCCTGTGAAATTACTAATGTAGAATTCAGTGTACAAAATATCTCCAAGGCAATCAGTACATTGAAACACTCATACACTGACGGAGCAGATGGTATTCCATCTAGCATGCTAAAACGTGGAGGTGAAGATATTTGTGTTTTGCTTCTCAAACTATTCGCGATATCACTCTCTTCAGCGTGTTACCCTACTGCCTGGAAAACTACACATATCATTCCCAAAATTAAAACAGGACCTGAAGCAAACGTTGAAAATTACCGGCCTATAAACATAACTTTAATGGTATCCAGAGTGATGGGAAAAGTAGTTAAGGCGGCTGTAGTTCGACATCTACTAACTAATAATCTCATCTCGACCTCCCAGCATGGATTTCTTAGGTCCAGATCATGCGATACATGCCTAGTAGACTACTTGAATGATATAACTCTGAAAAGAGACAGAGGACTCCTTGTATCAGTCCTATTCCTTGACTTTAAGAAAGCCTTTGATAAGGTCCCACACAAAAGGCTACTCGTCAAACTAAAGTCCTTCGGAACACACAACCCACTGTACTCATGGTTTGTTCCGTTCTTAACAAAACGTAAACAGATG